ACGTCCTGCGGCCTAGGGCGTAGGGCCTAGGGCTGAGGGCCGGCCCCGCGCGCGCGCGCGGGAGAGGGGCGCGCCCGCGGTGGAAACGGCGCTGCTGATCTGGCGGCGCGCGCGTGCCCCGAGGCCGCCGCCGGGCCCATGGCCGGCGCGGCCACCGGGCCGCGCGCGCGCGCCTCGCCACCGCGGCCGACCTCGCAGCCCCGAGCACTCGCCCCGAAGCTAGTCCGCCTCGAGCTTGCGCGCAGGAGCCGCCCCGAAGCGGCCAACGCACCCCCGCAGAGGCAACCCGGCAACCCGTGAACCAGGGGCCCCTCCTCCTCCGCCTCCTCTTCCTCCTCCCTCCTCCTCCCTCCTCCTCCTCACCATCCATTATCATACATATTATATGTTGTCATATTGTTGCGGTGTTATCTGTTACCTGCCACCGTAGCCCGTAGCCACTTTGGCCTTTTGGCCCACGGACAGCATCTTTCGAAGTGTCGAAGTGGCGCAGGGCGCAGGGCCTTGCCGCCTTGTCGCCCCAGAGCAGCGCAATAGCGCAATAGCGGTGGCGAAGATCCTGGGGTTCTTCAGGTAGGGAATAAGGGAGTAGGGAGTAGGAAGTAGGGGCCCATCATCAGGCATCAACCAGTAATCACTCGTCAATAGGATGCAGCTGTGCAGGCTTCCTAGCACCTAGCACGTTGCATCGCTGGGTCCAGCTCTCCAGCTTCCAGCTCTACTCTCTACTCCATACCTATAACCTACAACCGGGAATCTTGTATCCTATAACCTGTATAACTATACATATCTCTATAGATTTGGGCATCTTGTATCCTATAACCTATAACCTACAACCGAGTAGCGAATAACCAATAGCCTCGTGTAGCTATCGAGCTATCTAGAACTGAGGGCTTAGAGCTTAGAGACTACAGGATTGGAGATCTAGGTTATAGGTTCAATACACCTCCTGTATATTGGCCATAGACCATAGACTCCTTACTCCATGATATGATAATACGAATGAGTTTATAGTGATATAGGTTATAGTCAGAATACTACAGGCTATAGGCTATAGGCTAAAGGAATCGCATTGAAGTGTTAAGGTTTAAGTGTTAAGTGTTAAGACTGGGCCCCTAGGGCTTAGGGCCTAGGGGCCTAGTGCCTACCTAGTGCCTAGCCCATAGGTCCATGGGCCGTCGTCGTCGACGGCGGCGTCGGGCGTCGGCGTCGAAGTCGGCGTCGGCGTCGTCTGCGGCGGCGGCGGCGGCGCCGTCGGCGCCGAAATCCGAAACCCGAAACCCCGCGTCGGCGTCGGCGTCGTCGCCGTCGTCGGCGGCGGCGGCGTCGGCGTCGGCGTCGGCGGCGGCGGCGGCGACGGCGGCCGCGGCGGCGTCGGCGTCGGCGATGGGGGGATCTTCAAAACGCGCCCGAAACCGAACGAACGCGAAAACCGCGCGAGCATTTTTCGGAGCATCGTCAAATTGCGCCGAACCCGCGCGAGCATTTTTCGGAGCATCGTCAAATTGCGCCGAACCCGCACGAGCATACCCGCGAGCATCACATGGTGCATTTTTTGAGCATGAATAATGTTTTCAGCATTTCCCAGAGATGAGCGTGACGGGTGCATCTCACTATTAGTTTGGGGTTTCTATTAGACAGAGTTGCGGGTGTCTACAAAAACATGTTTTTGGTTTTACATTAATGATATTTCCATGCCCTCGGCGGTTGCACCTTTCGCAAGCTGCCAGGGGCCACTCTTGGGACACATTCAGCTGACGACGGTCGCCGGGCCAGTCTCTAGAGAGAAACTTTGAACATGGAAAATGAAATGTGGTGTGTGTGGGGGTGGCTCGGGTCGCCTTCAACAACGAAGTCGCGCGGGGGCGCTGGGCTTCTACGGGGGCGGCGGAGACCCTAAGAAGGCTGGACCTTTCAGAAACCAGCCCGGCTTCAAAAAAGACTTATGAGAAGCCTCGGGGTCCCATGCCTTCGAAGGAGGAACCCCTCCGCTGCTCGGGAGGCCGCCTCCCTCGTGCCACCCCATTGTGGTCGAACGAACGAGCGAACGCACAAACGAATGCCGCTGCGGACAAGCGTCCAGGCCTAGCTTACAATAGGAATTCGACCACGAGAAACCCTCCACCAGAAACCCAAACCTGAGACCCCCAGGGCGTCCATTGATTTTTATGTGGGAACGTCACACACTCCATAGCAAAACCGTCGACATCCAGGAAATCCATAGCATCCTGGAGGTAAGCAAGGTGTTTGTTGGCATGCGTTTCCACTGTAGACCAACTGGTTGAGGCCGTGGCCTCCGGATTCTGATTTGCCAGACACATGCAATTCGAGGCAAGTTCGGTTACACAGCGCGGGTCGTCCCGCCCACGGCGCAAACGAAGGCCATGATTGCCCCGGACAGCGCGGTGCAGGCCTGCCTTGGGCAACTCAGCAGCAGCTCCATTGGGGACGACGTGTGGGCCCAGGCGCAGCTCTCCCTCAAGGCAGGCGGCCTGGGGCTGCGCTCAGCAGAATGGCGCGCGCCATCCGCTTGCCTGGCCTCCCGCGCGACCTGCTCCGCGCTCTGCAGGCATCCTTGGCCCGGCTACACCGACGACGACACGGGCGGCTACGACGCGCGCGTTGGGAGCCGTCGTGCTGCCACACAACGCTCAGCTCCCGCAGCTGGACCGATTAGCCATCGACGCCAGCCAGCACGGCGACCAACGCGGG